GGAAGTACTTGTTCTACTAAGGTTATACCAGACATCTAGCAACACTGTCCAGAGCAGGAGTTTGTAACCTATGGCCCAAAAGCCAGGTTTGGGCCATGAAGAAACTGGACCTGGCCCATGGCAGCTCAGAAAATCTGCAGCATACACCAGTCACAGTGGAGAGGGTCCAAGCACCTGCTCTGTTCAATTTAGTCTTTCCTGCACCAGAGGAGGCATCCACAGGCTCCTAGCGCCTGGCTCTTTCTGCATCTGCTGATCACTGGGGCAGGGAGTGATAGGGGAAAGCTGTGTGGGGCTGTGGCCCACAGCAAGGGCTAAGTAACCCTGCCACAGCAAATATGTTGCCAATGCCTCATCTAGAGTGGTGTAAATGGTAAAAGGCACCACACAGAAACAGCACAACTCCAATGTTCCCCTATAAACAAAACTGGGCAGGCACGCAAGAGAGAAGCAACAGCAGCAGGAACCAGTGCAAGCTTGGCTGTAGCCCACCAGGCAGGTGTGGGACAGAGACTAAGACAGCTGGTGATGCCAGACTGCTTCCTGTCCCCTCTCCCCTCTTGCAGGGGATTCTGTTGCTGCCAGCGGCAGCAGCTGCTTTCCTGCTCTTTGCAGCACACTGCAAACCGGGCCAGTAGTACCAAGCCCCTTTCCCTTCCCCTCCCCAACCCCCCCCACCAACAGAGGAGCTGGGCTCAGTCACATCGCAAGGAGCAGGCAGGGGGGAGCCCCCCCACACACATACACCCAACCCACACACACCCCACATCATCCCCCTCCATACCCACACACACACCCAAAACTGTCCCACACACCCCACTATACACATCCCACAGATATATACCCACATCCTGACTCCTACCATACCCACACCTCAACCACACACACACAAGCCCTACACACACACACACACCTCCACACCCCCTCACACACCCCACCTAATCATATTCATACACACATCCAACATTCCCACACACCCCACATATATCCATGTGATACCCCAAACACACCCCACCTGCACCATACCCACACACACCCAGAAGTCCCACATACCCTGCACCTCAACCACACACATGCTACACCCACATATATCCCCACACACCTCCCATGCACGCCCCTCCTATGCCCCCACACACCACACCTGGCACCATACTCACACATTCCCCAAACCACATACTCCCCAAACCACACACCCCCTACCCCTCCACACAATATGCAAGCAAACTGCCCCCCACCCCAAAAGGAGTACTTCCTGGGCAAGGGGAGAGACTCCCAGCAGCAAAGATCAGGGGTTAGGAGGCAGGACTTCCAGGCACAAGATGACAACCAAGAGGCAGGACACCTGCCAAGGGGCAGAGCTACCCTTGCAGCGCTCGGCACCTCACCGAAACTCATTAAGCGGCCCTCCACCCGAAACAATTGCCTACCCCCAATGTAGAGCCCTGGCCCTTTATAATAAATAATATGAATAGAAGGGATGAAGTCTATGTCTGACTAGGAAGGATGACGCCAATTTTCCTACCAAAGAAGGGAGGGGGGAAGGAGGCAGGGGTTGATGCACAGAAGTAGCCCTTGGTCCAGTAGGACTCCTAAAATTTCAGACTCTGGCACTGAGATACAAACAGGGCAATCATTAAATAGAATAGGTGGTACACGTTCTCTCTGCCATTTTCCCCACTTGGGTTTAGTGAAACAATGCGAGTTTTAACCCAAGAGTGCCCCTGATAGTTAGTTTCCATCAACACCCAGCACCACCTAAACACTGAAAAAGTTAAGAATCTATAAATGAGTATTTTATTTTACCTAATTAATTTACTGAAATTCATTTAATTTAGACTAGTTCATTTTGGGACCTATATGAGAAACTTAAAACCCTGCAATGGTAGTTTTAGCAGAATTCAATTTAGCAGAAATCTGCTCCTGCAGCAGTTATTTACAGGATTTTCTTTTTCCTAATCTATTAAGTATTTGGCTGTTTGTCAATCTCAAAAGAGAGTCTGCCACAGATATCTCCAATGCCAAAAAGTTTCAAAGTGACAATACCAAAATGATACCAGATTTTCTATTCTTGCCTCTGAAAAGAATGTCTGAAGAAGTCAAGTCATTATCTTGCTGCTTTATCCCTGAAACTCCATATTTGTTACAATGGATACTGTAAGAAGTGCTAAGCAGTGGAGATAACAGAACGGAACAGAAATTAGACTACACTACCCAGATGATGAATAGGAGGTGGCTAACAAGAGTAGCATGTCTGGCATTATCAGGGTGGCCCTCACCACACGTTCATCGGGCTGCCACGCACCCCAAGATAAGGAACTACATTCCGACCTTGATCCAGTAAAATCACAGTATTTGCATTACATACTTAACTATCCCTGTAAATGACAAAAGTTTCTAAAGACATTAATCTTAATAGCAAAACAAGGCAGGAGTGCATCCTTAAGAAATTACAATGCTTCAAAAGACATTAAAATGCCTGAATCCAAAGATTAAAAGTATTATTCATACAAGTCGCCTAAAGCTCAGGTGCAAATGAAAATTTGAATAATCACAGAAAGAAGTCAGTGCAAAGAAATCAGAAAGGTAATGAAAAATAGAACGCAAATGGAAAAAAAAAAGAATATTTTTGAGGTACAGAAGTAGTTCAGAAGAAAACAAGTCACAAACACATTTAGACCGTTATGCCTCAACATGTTCATGACTTGTGTTTGAAACTCCTGCACCCCTTCACCCACCACAAATACTGTTTATAAGTAAAGCAGTAACAAGATAACTTTATTAAATGGTTAACCAGAACTGATCCACAAGATACAAGGTATGAACCCACAAGACAATTATTTTGGATAAAGAGATGATACAAAAATGAAATGAAGTGGAAAACAAAAACGTAGCCTCTCATCTCTCAGCCTGTGGAACAGCAGTTCAAATGAACTAGCAAAAGGCTACCACTTGAGATGTGACAAAGCCCTATGACAAAGTACAGCCTGAGTAGCATGGCTATCTAGACTAGTTCCCTGGAGCCTTGGAAAGGGAGGAATCCTGTGCTCATGACAAGTGCTAGAGCAGCACTTCTTAAACAGGGGTATACAACTCCCTGGGGGGCTGTAAACAGGTTTCAAGGGGTCTGCCTGGGCCAGTCCAGCCTGGGGAGGAGCTGCCTCAGACCCCAGGGTTGAGGCAAGTCCTAAGGAAGGGGAGGGGGCAGGCCAACCCGCCCCAGCCTCCATCTTGCAGGTGGCGCTGCAGGTGGGCAGGTGAAGTTTCGCACTGCTCCAGCTTAGGTGAGTGAGGCCCCAGAGCTCCCCACTGCCAAGCCCCACCCACTGCATCCAAGACCATGCAGGCAAAGCTGGAGAGTTGGGCCAGTCCTCTCCCGCACAGGGAGCAGTGGCAGCTCCACAGGGGGACTCAGGAAGAAAAAGATCGAGAAGGCCATAAGATAGAAGGCCATAAATGTCTGAATAACTTGTGTGTATCGGAAGTATTCCCTCCAATGTGCAAGGAAGAAGGGCTGATGGATCCATGCAGTCACAGGTATTCCAACCTGGCTCCAAATCTTCTATTGCATGGTGATAGGGGAAGAGCTCTGAAAAAGACATACTCCCCAGCAAACAGGTAAGATGCACGCACTGGACTGCCTCAGCATTCTGGAACTTCACCACTGCTACCAGTGCAGCCTGTGGAGGTGGTGGCCAGATTTGTCACTAGCAGACTATACGGGACAATCTCCACCTTGGGGCTGGGTGGACTAAATGAACAGATGCAACAATAGCTGTGACATATATTCTAATCAAATGTAATAGCCCCTGTGATGCCTTATGCTAAGAATTAAAAAGAAAAAGAGAGACGTGGCAGAAATGTTTAAGTAACATACAGCAACTAATTAAGAAGCCACACCCAAGATATTCCTTTCCAGTCCTAAAATGAGTGTGGGAAGGAAATATCCCTTCGTGATGAAAGGAAGTACAAAGGACATCTTTTTCATTCAGAATGGAGACAATGCACTGTACTTCACACTTTGTTCTTCTACTTCTGATCTTGCAAATAAGAAATTCTTACCACTCCAATTTTCAGGAAGAAGTACTGGAAATGCTTCAGTTTAATTTATGTAAAACAGTTTTACCCAGAATTTGGATTACCAGTATGACACTGTCTGTTTTATATAATTTAAATCTGCTACATGTTGTTGTTTCCTTCTCTCTAAAATGCTACCATACAATGCCAGCCATCCCAGCACACATACAATGAAACCAGAAGGCAGAGCTCCTCTTTACCTTCTGCTGAATATTCTGCTATCTCCAAGGCTTGAAGTCCATACACGAAGCCCTTCTGGAATCTATGAACACAGCAGAAGTAAAAGGCAGAGAAGTTTATGTGGATTTAGAGGTCATACTTCTCAAAACACAACAATGCCAAATTCCTAAATGCTATGCATACTTTACTAATTTGTTCTCCAGTCAATTTATAGACTTATCGGTGCACTATAGTATAAGTCCATGCCCACAAGGTAATTACTAGAACTCAAACTAAATATTAAAAAAAAAGTTCTGTTGAAAGGAGAGAGAAAGTTCCCAATTCAGGCTACTGAAATTACTAAAGTAGAATTAATACGTGTTGCAAATCCAGGTAATTACAAGTTACTTATATTTTTATATAACCAGAACGGAAATCTTAAACATAAAACAAAGGATCTGATTTTTTCAGAAGAAAATCGAGTCGAGTTAAACAAGTGACATATTAAAAACAAGAAGACACAAGAAGTATATAGAAAAAAATAAATAAAACAATGCTCCTGAAAACTAGGAAAGGACACATATATGTATGTTAACAGGAACAAAACATACATATGTGTTAACAGGATAACCAATAACCTACTACTTCAGATTATAAACTAATAGGGAATGGTCAAGATTACTACAATATCTTATTAAAAAGACAATAATTGATTTTGTCTTCATTTTATAAAAATAAATTCAGGTATACTTTCAGAGTAGATACTACCAACATAATAACCTTTCTGATTATTTGCCCAACAGTCACCAGTGTCCACAGACTCAACAGGGCAAGTGCTGCTAAAAGAAAAATCTTATTTGTTAACTTCTGCTGCAGAATATGTTATTACTAAGTTCTTATATTCTGCACTTCTATAGAACCTCTTCAAAAGACCTTACAACATTCATGGTAGGACAGACATATCCCTATTTTATGTATGGAGGGCAAAGGAGAAATGAGGTTAAATAATGTAGCAAGAAAACACAGTGATTTTGGTGTTAGCTGAATCCAAAATCTGTGTCATAAAATCATGAGTAACTGGAGTCAGGTCAGGGGGATGCCAGGATCTTTTTAAGGGTTGTCACTATTACTGGTACAAAAGGACTTTGCAGGTTATGCAAGGGACACAAGAAAGACAGGTGTTTCTGGACTGCTCCAGTACCATTAGAAGCAGTTAAACCTTGCCCTCTTCCAGTTTTCCATTAACTTCTAAAATTAAGAGAGTTAGAGCAAATCTTCAGGTGAGAAACATGCACTGGTTGTTCATAAATACTTCAGACGGATCATATCTTCAGCAAGTTAAGATTTCCCATTGCTTCTTATTACAGAGAAGCCTGTTAGCTTCAGTTTTTTCCCTAGCTCTTGTAAATAAAACCTCTTCTTTAAGGTTTCATTCTCTTTTCCACTGAATCTCTACCACTATTACTACCAATCTTTTAAAGAAAGTTCAAGGGACATATCAAAACTAAAAAGTTCTCATCATTACTAATAAAGCTGCTTCCAAGGAACTCTCAGGTGACAAGAGAGATTAATTATATGCAAGTAAGCTTTCTTCAAATCTATTGATACCAACTCTCCTAATAGTCTGAGAAAAGGCATTCATGTTCACAGCAGAGCTGTCCAATTTCTAAGCAGTCAAGGGCTGCATGACCCACAGGCCACACTAGCAGGGACCACATACCCCACACCACATCCGTATGCTACACGGACCACGCCACCGCATTGCACTACATGTCCACCTCCAACACAGCAGCCCCATATGGATGACCCCCCGCATCATGCTGGCACCATCCCACCACTGCACTGCACGCTGCGCAGCTCTGGCCTCACCCTAAGTGTCCTATAGTGTGTTATGCTGCACTAACCCTTGGGGCAAGTGCAGCACAGAGAAACTGGAGGATGGAGGAGATTCCAAGGGCTATTAAAGTCAGAACAGTAGAGGAAATTGCATCAGGGTGGGAGCCCACAGGCTGCAATTTAATCCTTTGCAAGCCACCAATTAGATGGCCCTAATTTACAGCTTCAAAAAGTATTCAGTTTCTTTTGGTCCAGACAAGATCTTGCCTTCCTGAAAGCAGGAACAATGCAGAGTTATACTTGGGCTTATGTCCTCCCAACATAAAAATATTAAAAGGTAACAGAAATTTGGTAAATCTTTCCTTTTGGGAAAATATATTGTGCAACAGATTTTGCTGCCCCTAGATGAGAAGCAGCCCTAGCAAAGGAAGGCACTTTCTATAGCAAACATACCAGCAATTAGGTGGCAAGACAACTGACATATACAAAGTATCTTAAAAATAGGCTGTTGTTAAAGGGACAACTTCTCTGGCAGGCACACCACAAATTAAGCCCAGGCCCTCCCTGAACACCACTCTGATCCCCTTCCCCTGCCCAATGTGCCACTCGGCTTTCTGCTTTGAGTTTGGTCTAGAGTTTGAGAACCTCTACTCTAGGCCAATATGGCTACAGCCTGGATACCTGGCAGAGAATTTTACAGAACTGCTGAAAAGCCTGCAGCTAAAGATCATCAAAAAACATTAATTACTGGTAACAGTCCAGCTATGACTATCTTAACTCACATAAGCTAATCTTTTTTCCTCTCCAAAATATCCCTGGGATATAAACATAGGACAGTAGTCAAAAGGCTGACTATAAGCTAGAGGGATACGAGCTTCACCTGGGGAAACAACAAACATTAGGAATTTGTATTGCTTTTTTGTTTGTTTTACAAGAAACACCATGTCCTGAAGAGAAATTCTTCTGTAATCACTGACAATTTGCAAGAAAAACAAACTCTTACAGTAAAACCCCAGAGAAACGACAAGGGCCCACAAAATTCTGCAAGATTATTTTAATATTACCTTTGTGGTACACACATCAGGAAACTGTATTCTGTAGACACCAGCGAACTCTCCATGGCAGCAGTCAGAAACATTTTCAGGCAGTGGACTGAAATGATCCAGCTCAGGTGAGCAGGTGCTAGCACATGGCTACTGCTACCACTCCCACCATTTCTGCCTGCCCTCCTGCCCACAACACAGCATGAGCTAAGCTCTCCACCACCCAACCACAGTGCAGCACAAAGTCCTCCAAGGCTGCCAAACATCCTGGCTCTGCAGGCCAAATACAGCTACAGGCTAGAGGTTATAAACCCCACGTTCTGTGAATCATCTGCCCTTCCTGCTTCCCCAACTCAGCTGAAGTGCCTTCCAGTCTTCAGGGCTAGGGACAAGTTACACATAAACTGGTTTAAGTGATCAGAAACTGGTTTAAAACTGTAACAGAACAGAAGCTCCGTGCACATAAACTGGGTTCAAAATGGCTGAAACTGGTTTAAGATAAACCTGGTTGAATGTAGTATCGGACTTAGCTGATTTAAGTCAAACCAATTGATGGAACTTCTGTCCCAGACCCCTTCTTGG